TGTTTTATAGGAGCAATAGGATATTTTAGGAATAACCTATGCTATATAATGGCACAGGTCCAGGTTTAATACTTCATCCTGTCTCAAGTACAGATTCTCATTCCTGTTTGTTCTGGTCTAGAGTCTGATTTTAATTATGCCAGTGTAAATCTGGATTAAGCGGGTTGTGCCCACGAAAGCTCATGATACTATCTACATGTTTTGTTAATCTTTAAGGTGCTGCTAGACCAGGGGTAGGCAAAAGGGCCTCCACAGGAGCTGGAGCTGGCCTGCCAACCAGGTTGATCCAACCAGCAGAGGCCCTGCCACTCCCCTGCCCCCAAGCCAATTAGGGCCTGGGAGTGGGGGGAAGTGCATTAAATTTCCTCCACCCTGCCAGGAGCACACAGCACTTCAAAGCGCCGCGCGCTCCTGGCAGGGCAGGAGAAGGCTTCGTGTGCTCCCCCACTCCCACTTCCTGATGGTCTGTGGGTGGGGGAACACGGGAATTCTCTTCTCACTTCCAGGGGCACGGGTGCTTAGTGGAAAGGGGGGGCAAAGAACTCCTCCACCCCATCGTGGTCTGTGGTTGGGGAAGCCCAAAGCTTCCTGGCTCCGCTCCTTCCTTTTGAGGCCCCGGTAAAAAATTATTGCCCACCCCTTTGCTAGACTAGTCGTTTTTTAAGTTTATCTTTGGCTTCAGTATTACCTAAGATCAGAATATGCTCTATATTACATGCAAAATTAGCTAATGAAAACACTACCGTCTTGAGTCTGTTGCATAAGTTGTACAGTGACAAACTGAGATTCTGTGTCCTGCACTGTGCAGGGGGTCAGACTAGATGATCATAATGGTCCCTTCTGACCTTAAAGTCTATGAGTATGAGTCTATGAGATAACATTAACACTTTTTGTTCACCATTCATTATTAGTTTGTTGGTTTATATGGGCTAGATGGCAGTGGAAAGTAAAGTCACTTCTCACACTGCTACGTGTGAGAAAGGGGTATGAATCAAATAGACTCATAATTAATGAAAGCATAGCCAGCTGCATAGCCAGCTACAAAGGCAATTATCAAAGAATAACCAAAATAGTTTTCTTTCAGAAACATCTGTGCTCTGCTACGCTGTATTCCTCCTTCCTGTAAACCAGAAGAGTAGTCTCATACTCACAAAGTCAAAGCTAAAATGACAAATAATAATGGGACACATGCTACCTCTACACTGGTTCTACGTGGCTGGAAACTGTAGTTTCTACCTATGGTGTTTTCTCCCAATACTTTTTTGGTGACAGGTTTTATTTCTCAAACAATGCATATTGCATATCTACAGAAGGCAGGGCCTCTGCATAGCACACTGTACATCCTGGCTCTCTGTGACATTGGTTACCCTGCTTGCCTGCTAAACACTTTCCATCTCCTCCTCCTCCTCTTCCACAGAGTCCTCCACGTTGCTGCCTGAGGAGTGTCTTGGGAGGAATCCATGAACTGGCTAGGGAAGCCGGCTGGGGCCCCCTTCCA